TTCCTTTCTTGTCATTTAAAGTGTTAGGTGCCTGAATTAGAATTTCATATATTCAGACTTCTTTTTTAGGAATTTTCTCAAGAAAAAAGAAGAAAAGAAATCAAAAAGAAAAAGAGAAGAGAAAAATGTCATGGACTTGTTAAATGGTGGATGATGCATCCGAACAAAACAAATCTTTATTATATAAAAATAGAGACCAAAGTATGCTTAGTTAATATCACGTGGCAGACTCTCTTCAAGGATAAATAGGATGATGTTTTAAATTAAAAAAAATTAAAATCCCATGTTACAAATTTATTAAAATTTACTAATTTCAAGGAATCTTGAACGTGGGTAGTTTTTTAATCTATAGTAGTCGTTAAATTATAAAATTATATATTTTAAGTAAAACATCCTTCCTTAAACGCTTTTAATGCATGTTTGAAAGTATTACGATTCAAGCAGTTTGAGAAACAAGCCTGTAAATTGAAAATTTAAAAGTTAGTTCTCGGGGTGAATATTCATCGGTAAATTTCAGATTTTCAGTCTAATTTTAAAAATTCATAACTAATTATAGAAAAATCGTAGCAAGGCAATTCAAAATTCTATTTTAAGATCTTTCAATTCTCTATAGGGAAAAAAAAAATTAAATTTGGACTTAACCCTTACCCAATTGTACAGTTAACTTGTAGAAGTTTACTGTTTATTTGATAAAAACTGTGCTTTCCAGTTTCTTTGCCCTAACTTTGAACGGTTTTAACTCATAGAACATACATCTGTTTTAAGTGATCTACTACTTGTTTTAAAGCTCAAGATGTGTATTTTAAGAATACCAAATTTCATGGGTAGATTTCATTATTTTCCTTACTTTAACTTTGTCACAAATTTGTGGCACAATTAGGGAAAACTTATCCCCCTCACTTGCATTAATAATTCATAATTAATTCTTTTCATGCATATTACCATTCCATCAATGCATTAACCATTTTCATACATCATCATGCTCAGTCTTACATGCCATCCTCATCATTTGTCATCACATAATATTAGTGTCATATTTATCATACATTGGCATACAAATTACACAATATAATGTAATACATTTCCTCAATTTTTTTTCCTCTTTTCCTTGCTTCCACTTCATGCATCATTTTGCTTGATCATTAACACCTATTAGGATTGGTTAAGAGATGGTGAGATTCAGAAAAATCTCAGTAGCAAAATTACCATTAATACATGCAAGATGAATGTAAGTGTATGATATGCTTACTTAATCCAGCTCATGCTTATTTATAACATGCTCTTATACTCAATGTTTCACATTAACATGCATGGTCATGAAAAACATAAAAGAAACAAAACATTATGCTTGTATTTGCATCTCATATCCTTATCAAATAATATAATGCACATTAACATGCAAGTATGCACATCAAGTACACAAGAAAGGTAAGTTCACTACCTTTTGTCTTTGAGTTCCCTCTTGTCCTCTTTAGCTCCCTTTTGCTACCAATCCTAAGGTTACTTGTTCAACCTTTGCTATTCCTCTTCCTTAATGTCTCATGGCTCTAAATGCATCAACACAATATTGCCATTTATTCATTAGAACTATGGTAACCAACAACATCAATACTTTGTTTTTTTTTTAACTACATTAATTTCTAACTTTTGAGCTTGATTTTTAACCTTTCTAAAATTAATCCTACATGCTATTCCCATATAATTTTGCATGTTAATCCATTTCCAAGCTTAAATAAACAAATTCAACTGCTTTCCCTTCAACTCAACTTGGCTAAATACAATAAGGTAAAAAATTCCATTTTCAATTCTAATGCTTCCAAGCTTGCTTTCTCACCTTTATTCCACACAATTTTTCATTCTAAACATAGTGAAATCATTAAAATTATCAAAATTCAATTCTATCAAGAATCCTAAGTCTGGCCGAAAATTACACAAGTTAGGGAGAAGTGGAACTTCTTGCAAACTCATCACAAAACCACTTGATTCTTGCTTTTTTCAAGCCTTTGAAACTTATTTTGACATCAATTTGATCTTTTCTAACCCTATCAATTTTGTGTAGCATGACCCTTAAGGTTTCAAGCTTCCAAAACCTATCAAAACCATTACCAAGCTCAACAACAACAAAGGTAATAAAACTTACATCAAAAACCATAAACATATCTTGTTTTGGAGGTTGATCTTACATGGTTTTCCTTACTCTTTCTCCCCTCCTTCTTCCTCTTCATTTTCAGCCTTCTCTCCCTTTTTTCCTCTCTTGGCTGAAAGGTTATGCGATTGGGAGGGGAGGGGGTATTTATAAAAATTTGTTTAAATCTTAGCCCTTGATTTATATGTGTGGCTTGATCTTGGTCATTCATTTTGTGATAACCATATATTCAAAACCCATTTAGATTAAATCAAGCAATTTATTCGAAAGATTAACCATGATAGAAAAGAAGAAACCTTAAAATTTTAAAATTACTATCATGGTTAAAAGAAATAAACTTATATCATGAGCAACTTTGATCATTAACTGGGCCTTAGACTTCCAAAGTCCAGAAATATCATTCAACTATTAGCCTAATCCAAGCTCATATTTTCAAACATACGAACTGAAAAATCATTTTAATATAAACTATAGAGCCCATTAGTCAAAAGTCAATACTTTTAAAATAGCGTAACACATAAAATCTTAAAGACCTCTGGCCTTCTAATAGCCTCCCATATCATATAGTAGTAATTAAAAGTATTAGTTTACAATATTAGAGTATATGAGCCCTATGTGGCAATATATAATAAATCAGTATATAGAACAAAAGCAGAGAGGTTATGTAAACTATAATAGCACACTATGCCTCCAGAGCCTTTCCTGATGGACTACCACCTGAATTATCACCTAAAGGTAGTAAAAACCATAGGGTGAGACAAATGTCTCAGTAACCAACTTTCCAACTCATCATACATACTAACATATGCTTGTGAGATATCAAATGGGACAATTATTAAATCTCAAGAAATATAAATATATCAATTGAAATATAAAATATGTATATTCAAATAATCTCAATCATCTAAACCCTCATTATCGGAACTAACACGCAAGCCACATAAGTCTATCCCTCACTATAGGGGATCAATTTGACATATAGGCCTATTCCACACTTTGGGGGGTGAATAAGAAGTCACAAAGGTCTATCCCACACTTTGGGGGATGAATAAGAAGCTACCAAGATCTATCCCTTACTATAGGCTTATCTCACACTATGGGGGACGAATAAAAAGCCATAAAGGTTTATCCCTTACTCTAAGGACGAAGGAAGCTAACCAATATGCACCAATGGCGGCCTTACTACATGGTAGAATAGGGCTCAATCTAAAATCCAAATAACAACCAATCATTCACAATATAACAAAAAATGTCTTTATCTCTTCTCAGTATAATCCATAAGACATAAATAATATATTTTTCCAAACTTCTCAATCACAATTTCAAAAATCCCACAAGACCATTTTCATAGCTCAAAAGATGTAATATATCTACTCAAGTTTCAAATAACAAATCATTATTCTAAAATGACAAAATATTCACAAACAACATATTAGCACATATAACAAGTGGAAAGTGATTACCTCTCGCCAAAGAAATAGTAAGGATTACTACAAGCTTAATTCTTTGCTCAAATAATAATTAATCTACACAATTAATATAACCACATATTAATATAAGCTAATTAATTAATGAATTAATTAAGCTTATATATATTATTTAAAATTTTAATTTCCGCAACTCTCATAACCTAAAATTAAGTATTTCAGAACCAACTTATAATTTTCTAACAAGCCAAAATATTTGTTTACATCCTCTAAATTATTTACTCTAAAAAGAATTTTCCAAAATTTCAAAATATGGAATTATTATGTTCTAAATTCTAAAAATCTCATTTAAAATTTAAACCTCAAACCTAATTATCAAAAAATTCAATAATACTTCAAATGTTTATAAATAAATAATCTAATTAAAATTTTAATGGTATAACTATTAGATAAATATATATATTTTCGTAAATAATAAACTTTTTAGCTAAAATAATCATTTTAAAACCTTCGGTCACCCAATAAATAAAGCTAAACCGATTAAAATATCAGTAATATGTCAAACAACCCAAATAAATTATTTAACTTAAACTTAATCAGTAAAAATATCATATATGTCATATATAACAAATTTTCTAACTAAACAAATTAATTTAAATATTAAAAACTAACATAGGGGAAAATCTAAACCAATTAAAATTAACTACTCATTTATCTTTAAATTTCTATAGTCATATATTATCAAAATTCAATACTTATATCGTTCTCTAAATTTTCTCTAATCACTATAATAATACCACTATTAGGAAGCGTAAAATATAGAAGAAATATTCATGAAGAAAGTTTGATGAAAAGAAGTAATTTTATATACCTAAAATACCTTCAAAGCTTGCCCTCTCCTTTACAATGACTGTCAATATGCTCTCTGCTCTCTTTCCCGCACTCTATCTCTCTTTCTCTCTTTCCTTCTTGTGCTTGAAGGGAGGAATTGAATTGTGGGAGGTTGTATTTAACACCCCTATACATTTATTAGGGGGAGCTTCCCCCTAATAAATCCTCCCCAACCCCCAGTTGTCATCTTTCCACTGAATTTCAGTGGAAAGTTGACTTTTTATAAAAAAAATTAAAATTTTTTATTTTATTATAATAATAAAATATTATTATTTTATGCTATGTTATATTTATTTTATTCTTTTATTAACATTTTTTAATTTTTTGATAAATCCTATAATAAAATTTGGGATATTACAACTCTCCCTACCTAAACAGAATTTTGTCCTCAAAATTCAAACAACCACATACAAAATTAAAAATATAAACAACTCAAGGTGCTTACTAAGAAGATAAGTAAGGCTACTTGTAACACATTCATTTCTTAGTCTCCCAAGTAGCATCACCTGGACTTATACCCTTCCAAAAGACCTTACCTTAACAAGACAGATGGCCTTGTTTCTTAATTGTTTGTCCTTAACATCCAAAATTCGCTCTGGTTTTGCTGAATAGGTCAAATTATCGCGCAACTCGACCTCTTCAGGCTCAATAACATGAGATAGATTTGGATGATACTTCTTCAACTGTGACGTGTGGAACTTGTCGTGTAAACTGGGAAGATGTGGTGGTAGCACAATTTGATATGCAACAGATCTGATCCACTCTAAAATCTCATAAGGGCCTATAAATCAGGGTGTAAGCTTCTTGGCCTTGATGGATTTGCCCATACCTATGATAGGTGAAACCTTCAAAGATACATGATCACCTAGTTCAAATTCTAAGGGTCTCCTCTAAGAATCCGCATAACTCTTTTGCCGACTTTGGGTCATCAACAACTTCTGCTTGATCAGCTCAATCTTTTTTGTTGTAATGTCCACTAAATCTAGGTCAATAACTGTTCTTTCACTTAATTCAATCCAACAAAGTGGAGATCTACACTTTCTTCTGTATAAAGCCTCATAGAGTGCCATCTGAATACTAGAGTGATAACTGTTATTATGGGCAAACTCTGCTAATGATAAATGAGTGTCCCAACTGCCCTTTAGCTCTATAGCGCAAGCCCTCAACATGTCCTCGAGAGTCTAAATAGTCCTCTCGGTCTATCAATCAATTTGAGGATGATAAGCAGTACTAAATTTGAGCTTAGTGCCTATGGCTTCATGTAATGACTGCTAGAAGTTTGATGTAAATCTCGTATCCCTAGATGAGATGATAGACTCTGCCACTCCATGAAGTCAAACAATCTCATCTATATATAGCTTTGTCAATCGTGCTAAAGAGTAAGTACTTTTGCTAGGTAGAAATTGTGTTGACTTAGTAAATCTGTCCACAATTACCCATATAGCATCATAGCCAACTCAGGTTCTTGGCATGCTAGTGATGAAGTCCATGGAAATACTATCCCATTTCCATTGGAGAATATCAAGATTCTTTAATAGTCCTGGAGGTCTTTGATGCTCTATCTTGACCTTTTGACATGTTAAACACTTTAATACAAGATCCGTGACATCTTTTTTCATTTTTGGCCACCAGTTCTTTTTCAGGTCCTGGTACATCTTGATTATCCCTGGGTGTATCGTGTAATTACTTCGATACGCCTCTTCTAGAATAGTCTTTTTGATTTCCTCATTATTAGGGACACAGATCCTTTTCTTGTGTCTCAAGATTTCTTCTTCACTAATTTCATAATTAGGCACATCCTTGGTCTCCACTTCCTCTTGGATGCTCAGCAACCAGTCATCCTCCATCTGTGCTGCCTTCAAGTCTCCAAAATACTCATAATCACCCAAAATTGATTACAGAGTGGCTGGAGCCTCATGCACCACTTGGAGATCTCTTAATCCCTCTAAGCAATAGTGTTCTTCCAAACTCATGTGAAAGACATGCACCGTTTTCCTACTCAAAGCATCTATAATCATGTTGGCTTTACTTGGGTGATACTTAAACTCAAAGTCATAGCCCTTGATGAATTCCATCTACCAGCATTGTCTATTATTCAGTTCTTTTTGATCTACTAAATACTTCAGACTCTTGTGATCATTGAAGACTTCAAATTGTGATCTATATAAGTAGTGCCTCCAGATCTTCAATGCAAAAACTACCGCAGCTAATTCCAGATCATGTGTAGGATAGTTCTCCTCATGCAGTCTTAATTACCTAGATGCATAGGCAACCATCTTACCTTTCTACATCAGGACATACCCCAAACCCTTAAGTGAAGCATCAGTGTAAAGGGTGTACAGTTTACTAGGATCTGGAATAGTCAACACTGATGCCATGATCAAATTACAATTAGGTCCCTACTCAGGTTTAGTTTAAGGAATCATCTTACTGAGGCTCCAAGCACAATATTTGGCTCTTAATCATCTCCTATTTTCATACTCGTCCCCTCAAGGCTTCATGGGAGTCTCTAACTTACCTATCTCATTATTCCAGAAAACTCTTAGTTTCTAATTTAATCCACGCAAATCATCTCGCCCTTTCGGGGAACTTTTGGAACTCTTGTCAAAAAGAGTCTTGCGGCCTATCCATTTCAAGCTAATTTTGGTACTTCTAAACCCAAAATCTAGGACGTTTCAATCCTCCCCCTCTCAAAAGAAATTTTGTCCTTAAAATTTTCCGGTCAAACCTCTATCCTTACCCTTAATGGGAGGTTAACTGAGAAAAATATCCCTCCTTATACTCAACTTTGGCCATTAATTTTTTATTGTATCTCATTGCTTGGTTTTGATCCCTGATTTGTGCTTACTCATCCCATCGTTCTATACTTTATTATCATTATGGCCCTCACCTTTAACCATTTCATCATCATTGCTCACATTCTTTCATGATAATGCCATGATAGTGTACCTATCTTTATAGTATTTCATTATACCATGACATTTCAGATTCTTCTAATACTGCCTTTATCAAGTCTTTTTAGCACTGTCATTCTCATCTTTACCTTAAAGGCCTAACTCCTTTCTTTCACATTCTAATTTCATGCTTAGCTTTCCTGAATGCGTATTGTTCAAGACTTACAACTCTCACCTCCTCATTCTTGCTATTCTTTCTTTAAGATTGATTTACTGCGACTTTGGTCTAATTGACACTAAGGTGTCTACAGAATAGTCAAGGGTACTCTCTGTGCCAATTGACTAACTTGAGGAGGTTCCTGTATCTTAAACTCATCCCAGGACTACTCATTCCTAGTCATCATCCTTGGTCACTGTCTCCCTCAAGAGATATCTCAATAGCTCAGTAATTTCCTTAAGATTGATTTACCGCGACTTTGGGGGCCATCATACTCTATCGCAAGTCTCATTGGGAGCTACTACACTCTACCGCAAGCCTTTTCAAGATCTATTGTGACCTTGAAATTTCCCTCTACTCGACTTATATTCCAATCCCTAGGAGACTTTAGACCATTGGATCAAGTCAAAGAATAAATCGCCTTACTCATCTGTCAACTGCATTGATAATTTCCCCACAACTAATTACAAATCCCCCTTTATTGTCTCATGGACCTTCCACAATCATTTTGTCAACTCTAGAATCATTCACCTTCCTGTATTTACTTCACACTTAGCTCCTAGCTTTCTAAGGATGTAACATCCTACAAATTTTAACTCTAAAGATGAGAGAATTAAAATAGACTAAGGACTAGTTGGTGCAGAGGGGACATAGATCTCATAAGTTTTGAACAGAAACCTGAGTAACGTCTGGAATGATATTTTTAAAATTCAGCTAAAGAAAGATCTAATTGAGAAGTCAGGTTAGAAATTCCTGAAAATTCTCAAAAAATAAGGAATTATTGAAAGGAAAATAAATAAATACAGAATTTTCTATTTTTATAAAAATTTTTAGTTACATTTAGAAATGGTAATCAAAATTAATTATTTAAAATACCTAAAGGCCTCAATAATTCTGAAAAAATATGAGAAATATTCTTGAAGGATTTATCATAATTTATAAAATTTTCCCTGGCTTTAAATGATGAAGAAGTTAGCTTTAATAATATTTAAAGCAGAATTATCGCTATTAGAATGTCGGTTTTACTGGAAATGGAATTTAGAGAATTTCAGAGCAAATTAAATTCTAAGAAAAATCTTGGAATTTCCCTCCACTAAGAGAAAGTTAATGGTGTATTGAGATAAATTTTCTAAGACAGTGGATTGGACAGGATACAGAAAAAAAAATTCATTCGGCACTGCACCAGTACTCAATGTGATGTGAGGATAATTGGGGAAGTGTATTTTTTGACAAAGTTTTCCAATCCAAATGGCCTATGTGTCACTCCATTTTTAGCCTATTTTGGAGGAAAAATAAATAATAAAAAATAAAAATAAAATAGTTTCTAGGAGGTGGTTAATTATGGTGATTAAGGAAGTTAACCAAGATTAGGCTAATTAATCTTGGTATGACATAAGCAAGTGACATCATAACCATGACATCATGTGGATATGTGGCATAATCACAAGCTTGAAGCACAAGATTTGTGCACCTATTTTCAATTTATTTTCCATTATTTTTAGAAGAATTTTTAAGGGCTAAGATTTAGCCACCTGACCCTTGTAATTTTGTTGAAGTTCAAGGGCAAAGAGTTAAGTGAATTGCTATAAATACCCCCTCCCACAGTATGAATTTTAGTTAAGAGAGGAAAGTAAGGGGAGACCTTGTTGCACTTGATTACTATCTTGTGTCTTTAAGTTCCCTTTTGTCATCTTTAGCTCCATTGTGCTACCAACCTTGAGCTTATTTGTTCAACCTTTGCTATTCCTTTTTCTTGACATCTCAGGGCTCCAAATGGATCAACACATCATTGCTATTTGTTCATTAGAGCCATAGTAACTAACAATATCAATACTTTGTTCTCTTTGAACTATATTAACTTCTAACTTTTGAGCTTAATTTCTAACCTTCCTAAAATCAATCCCACATGCTATTCTCACATAATTTTGTATGTAGAATAGATATCAAAGCTCAAGTTAAACAAAATCCAACTCCTTTCCCTTCAACTTAACTTGGTTAAACATTATGAGGTTTTAGGGCAAAATTTCATTTTCAATTCTAATGCTTTTAAACTTCCTTTCTCATCTTTTTCCCACATAATTTTTCAATCTAAACAAATTAAAAGTGTCAAAATCAGTAAAATCCAATCCTATCAAGAACCTTGGGTTTGGTCGAAAGTTACACAAGTTAGGGAGAAGTGGAATTTCTTGCAAGTTCATCACAAAACCACTTGATTTCTTTTCAAGCGTTTAAACCTTATTTTTACATTAATTTCATCTTCTTTTAACCTTATCAATTTCATGCAGCATGACTCCTTCTGATTTCAAGCTTTCAAAACCCATAAAAACCATAATCAAGTTCAATAATAACAAAAGTAATGGAAACTATGAGGGTGTTTGATAATTGTTGAAAAAGCACTTTTGGACCCCAAACCATGATTTAGGTCCAAAAAATGCAAACATCCCAGTTTTTTGCAAAATTATGGTTTGGGCTAAAACTATGGTTTCAACCTCATAAACCATGGTTTTGAAGAAAGAAATTTTTTTTTTTTTTTGCTTCTAGAGCTAAAAAATATGGTTGTTGGAGAGCTTGGACCCTTTAGAGCCGCCTATTACCCCTCCTTGTAAGAGAGCCTTTGAGTTGAAAAAAGCCTCTACTCAGTGAATATGATAACTTAATGATAGTCCAAGCTTATAATTATTCATATTTATTTATTTTTGTAACAGAAATGTTATGGCATTTCATATTTATAGTCATTAAGGCGAGACAATATTTTTTTGTTGGCAAAAAAATCATTTTTTCCAAAAACATTTTTAATCTTATATTTCATAAGTATATATACATATTAACAATTAATTAATTATATTTTTTATGTTTCATTTATTATATTGGAAAAAAATTATTAGCAAATTTATTACTTTTTCTGTCCCTTTTTATAAGCAACTTTAAACTCCATTACAATAAGGATAAAAAATAAAGAGTGTACAATAAATTCCAAAAAAATCCCAAAAAAATAAAAAATAATATTCTAAGATTCTTTTACGAAGAGAAATGATGAAAATACCCTTGAGGCAACTTAAATGGAATTTATAAGATTATAGCTCGGTAAAAAGAAAACCAATGGAGGTAATTATTTGAGATAATAAGAAATCTCAAAAATTTATGTAAAAATGAGGTTAGGAAGCTTAAAGGCTATGTTACTTTATAAAATTAGTCTCACTTCCAAAAGATTAGCAGAATGGCTGGAATAAAATAGAAGGCTAAATTATAATGGTTAAGCGTATTTTAGTAAATGATTTTTATACAAGGCTTAAAGGAAGTGTTATGGCCTGAGAAAATTCATAGATCTTCTCTAGAGTAAAATAAAATTCATGGAGTAGATAGAAGAATTTTTTGAGCTCTAAAAGGCTATTAAGACGGCTGAATAAATGTGAGCCAAATAAATTGGAAGGAAACTTGGAGACCAAGTTTAATCCAAGGGCCAAGGTCTATTCTTCCTTTCCTTTCCATTAGATTTGTGCTACCTAGCTCTCTTTTAGAAGGATGTTGTAAGGGATGATGTAAGAAGATGATGTATTGATGATGTAAAAGTGCACTTGAAGTTTCAAGTTTGCCCTTATAATTTCTATTAGTTTTCAAGGGCATAATGGTCCATTCAAGGCATAAGTTTCACTATAAATACCCTCTTATGGAAGAGCATTTCAGCACAAAAGAAGAGAGGGGAGGTGCTGCCAAATTGAGAAGAGAATGAAGAGGA